ATCTGGTAAACACGTTGATTCTATTAAACTGATCTGGTTAACACGTTGAAATGAAGAGAACCAGATTGAAAACCCTTTACTTAAAGAGAATCTAAAGATTTCCTGTAACAGTGGCCCCCCAGTTACAAACAACAACAACAGTAACAGTGCTAATTTTTCTTTTCAAATCTATACAGATACACGCTTCGGAACGTCACCGATTCTTCGTACGGTTTGTATAATTCTACAGAGAAGACTTGGGACGGTGTGATTGGTGAGCTGAGTCGGGGGGTGAGTTAAATACAAACGTACTTTTTTTACAGGTTGATCGTAAACTTAAGAACCAAAAGTAGTGTGTTGTTGTTTTACTTTTTATGTAGCTTATATATTATTGGTAACCTTACAACCAACCAAGTGATGGACTCACAAACAATTTGGGACATAAATAATTCTAAAAACTGTATTTACAAAATATCGGTAAATGTAGGGTTAAGGTAGAGACTGTTTTAATGGTTCTACTCGTCCTAAAGAGACAGATAACTTATTCAGTTATGCCTAAGTCTAAATCATACACAATTTTGAGATGGCGTGTTTAAAGATGACCATCCCAGTACAACTTGAGGTGGCACGATTAAAGATGACCATCACAGTACAACTTGTTTCTGTAACAATACGACAACCGTCCAAGAATTAAACTAACCTATGTTAGAATATAACTATCTGTAAAAACACGACAACCTACTAAGCTGGTTTATATAAAAATTTGTTGAAAATATTACACCCTGAAAATCAGGTAATTAATATTCCAAAGATACTACATTCAACCCAGTAGGTAATATATAAACAGAACGAAAGAAAACAAAAATATATAATTCGTTTTAACAAAATACATAATTCAAATGAAGCAAGGCTTCCAACAAACTTTTGACAGTGACATCATATTCCATTAGCCAATCACAGCGCAAATACCGTTTGAGCTAACTTTGTTACATATAAGTCTTGATACTGATTTTGGCAGTGACGTCATATTCCATTAGCCAACCAAAGCGCAAATACCGTTTGGACTATCTTTGTTACATATAAGTCTTGATACTGATTTTGGCAGTGACGTCATATTCCATTAGCCAACCACAGCGCAAATACCGTTTGGACTAACTTTGTAACATGTCAGTCTCGATACTGATTTGTTTTTCTCAAACGACTGTTAATATACTAAATCTTTATTTATTTTATTAGCAGTTACAGCTTTTAGAGTAAGTTAGATATGTTTTTAGAACAGGTACGACGTTTCGATAAATGGTGCGATCATTCTCAAGCTGTAACTTGTAATTAAATATATTTAATTACTAAGTAAACTCAAAACGTAAAAGGTGTTATTACACTTCATTGCGCTCATCGTGACGTTAGACGACACTAACAGAGCGAGAGATTCTCGTTGTTAGTTTCTTATTTTATTGTTGTTTTAGGAGTCAGACATGGGACTGGGGAACTTCAACCCCTCCAAGAAACGTAGCGCTGTGGTCGACTTTCTAATCACAAATATTGAGCATGGCGGACTGCGGATAATAACTCTGCGGAACAGAAGAAAAACTGAAAATGTATTGTCCTTTGCTGCTACCGTACAGGGGAAGGTGTGGCTCTGTCTTTTGGGTACCATGGTGATTACTGTAGCTTTGATGGCATTGACCAATCAGATGAAAGTTGCTGATAACGAGAACAAATCAACAAGTGAGGCCCGCAACAGTAAAGAAATATGGACGAATTCCGTGTTCTTCGTGTACAGCGCACTATTACAACAAGGTAACCGTTTAAAATCATAAATAATATTCAACGTTAAACTAGTACACAATTAAAAAACCTTTTTATCTGAGGCCTTCAAAAGTTGACGACTCTACATGTTTCGACGTTACACTCCTAAGGATGACGTTGTAGAGTCGTCAACTTTTTGAAGGCCATAGATAGGCCTAAATAAAATGTTTTTAATTGTGTACCAGTTTAAGGTTGAATATTATTTATGATTTAAACTTTATACAAAAGTGACAAAATACTATAATTAAAGTAACCGTTTCTTAAAAGTTGAGGATTGTGGGTAGTGATTTATAGTATCTATCCGTTACGCCTAGACAACATTAAACATTTTGGTATAAAATAACCCGTAAAGAAAGACGTGTATCCTATTCTTCTGTATTCATTTAGAACCCGTTAAGAAACGGAAGACCAGTATTTTACTTGGAATGAACATACATATATCGTAGGTCATTAAACACCATGATATATAGATATTTGAAACTATGTTATCCTTGTTACTGAGTATATATATATATATATTGTTACGCCTCTGGTCGTTTGTTAATTTCCCGTATAATTTCTTTCCGATGAAACTTTAGCGATACAAGTCTTTTCTTAAATAAAACTAGTTTATTCTTTCTCAATTCAACTTTGTAATACACTTAATTTATACAGTTATTTTAAAGACACGCTATAATTCACGCTAGAGGGCGTCTAGCACATATTGGATTATACGTGATGTTCCCCGATCCTTCTAGAATATCATGACGTGTTACCAGCGTCACGTGACTACCACTGTCGTAAAAATATATACGCACACACGCATTTAATCTAATGAAAACATTTTGAATGTGAAAAAAAAAAAAGATAATCCACCAAGAAGTTCGGGTAAAATAAACTGGTAACCGTTTGGTATGCCCCTTCATCAATAAGCCTGAAACTTAAAACGCTATAAACCGAGTTTTGATATCTGTGGTGGGCACAGCACAGATAGTCCATTGTGTAGCTTTATACATAATAATAATAACCCCTCGGGTATATTTAGATTATTAATTTTCGAAGTTTTTTTATGGTTGAGAATCTTAAATTGTACTTCTCGGTTATAAAGTATATCAAACACCACGTAATGAGGATGTTTATAAATAATGTCATTTAAAATGAAACCTGAGTTCAGAATTGAAGTTAACTTTGTGACTAATCATCTTCGGCACAGAAGAAACTCGAAACTATCTTATATTAACTTTCTGTTGTTTGTTTCTCACCTGAAGGTTCGTATCTCACTCCCAACACGATTTCTGGAAGAACCGTGTTCGTGATCTGGTGGTTGTTCGCTGTGGTATACTACGCCTGTTACACCGCCACTCTGACCTCGTCCTTCGCTGTCAAAGAACCACCTTCCCCCATTAATTCGATCTACGACCTTTTAAATACACCTAGCTATAGGTTCGGGATGAGAAAGGGAACGTTCCATCTCAGATATTTTAAGGTAAACAATAACCTGCGATCCACTGTTTACCAGATCAGTTTAATAGAAACATAGGTTCGGCAGTAACGCCCTCTTGCTGTTGTTTTTTCAGGTGTCAGTAACGAATGAAGAGAACCCTCTTGCTGTTGTTTTTTCAGGTATACATAGGTTCGGCAGTAACGAATGAAGAAAACAATGTACTTAGATTGTAAACTTCGTCTCTAAGTTATGTCGTGTCGCATCCACCTACACACTGTCGTAGAGACAGTTAATGTACTTAGATTGTAAACTTCGTCTCTAAGTTATGTCGTGTCGCATCCACCTACACACTGTCGTAGAGACAGTTAATGTACTTAGATTGTAAACTTCGTCTCTAAGTTTAATTTAAAAAAATATTTTACGAACTTAATTTACTGGTGATTTATAGATAGTCTTCTTCTTATTTTAGCACAGAGTTACACAATGTGCTATCTGATTTTAGCGTTTTTAAGATTATCGCTGACCCACTGGGGACCAACTTATTTGTGTAGGAGATAATATATTTAATCTTAGTTCTTAAACGTTTACTCGTAACTGTTTCTTTAGTTTTTGTTTTTAAAGTGAAAAATATTTTTACATTATTATTATGGGTATGTCTGCGGACTTACAACGCTAGAAACAGGGTTTCGATAACTGTGGTGGGCAGAGCACAGAGAGCCTATTGTGTAGCTCTGTGTTTAAATTACAAACAAACAAATTATTATGGGTGAAACAGAAATGTTTACCTGATGACGATTTTTTATATGTTTGTATTCGTTGTGAAGGACTGAAAGTCACACACTGGGTTATCTGTACTCTACCCACCATAGGGATCTAACCTCGTATATTAGAATTATAAGCCCTCAAGGTTATCGTTGAGCCACGAGGGGCCATATACCTCTTGCTGTTGTTTTTCAGGTGTACATAGGTTCGGCCTACACACTGGCGTAGAGACAGTTTGGATGCGACACGACATAATTATCGCTGGTAAATTTAAATTGTCATAATTTAATTATTCAAAATACAATAAATTATAATAAATTAATGTACGCTGAAGTGTCGAAATACAACATGTTATATTTTACAACTGATAAGTTTGTGATAAATACTGCTTGATTTCACCCACTTTACCCCAAACCACACATATATATACTAGCTGGAGTCCCCGTTCATGATCACTGAAAGGTTATCTTAGGACATGAAAAGTTACTTCCCTTGTACATAATTGTAAAAAACGCCCATAAAAAAAATTGTAAAACACAAAATATGAAACCACAAATTTTCCATGTATCTCCGCATGGTCCCAAAAAACCATGCCAAATTTGAGGAAGGTCCATCAACAGGGACGAAGTAGTAGTAAAAAACGCTCATAAAAACCTCAAAATGCAAAAACTGAAAATCTGTA